TTAACAACCACTTTTTCTCAGATCATGGCATTTCCAGAACCAATAAGTAAAAAAAATTATAAATCTTTTCCATTCTGTTATTGAATGCCTCAAAACTGATAGCCCAAAAGTTATCCAGTCTGCACAGTATGATTCGATTTCTTCGATAAATCTTCCAGATGGAAGAGCAAGCCTGCCCTCACCAGCTGGCAGATCTTGGACAAGGCACGGTGCCTCTCGGACCTCGGTTTTCTCACTGGCAATAGCACCGCCCACTCTGTACAGGTGCTGGGAAGAGAAAGATGCTGTGAAAGGACCTTGCATAGTGTCCCACACATGCTCAATAAATGGAAATGATGACTAATTATTTTAATAAGTCTTGATATCACTCGTGGCCATCTACTTCCTTAGCCTTTGTAGTCAGGTATGCTTTCCTCAACAGTTTTCCTCTCTCATGTTCAGAACTGCTTTATATTATAATTCCATTAATTTTGCTGAGCAATTATTAGTAGATGAATGTACTAATGATCCCTAAATCCTTTTTATCTGTGGTTCTTTGTGTATTTTTCTCTTTCCTCTGTTTGCCGCTTTTAACGTTTGGTCGTTTTTGCCACATCTATCTTATTAGTAAGTAATTATAATTTTCATTAAAATTTTTTTTCATAAGGAGAATATTTAAGTTATTAAAAGTCAATATTTTTTTTTAAGATACTAGAGATTCTAGCGTCTGTTCATTCAATTATAGCACTGGCTTTGGTAGGGACCTAGAATGCACCTGCTTTCAGTAGTGGCCACTGTTTTCTTTCAGATCTTATCTACTGCATATCAAAGGGACCCAGGAAACGGCAACCAGCTTCATTAAGTACCTACAAAGCATAATGTCAAAAAATTAAATCTACTTTATAAAAGGATAAACTTTACTAGAAAATAGGTCTTTGGACTTTTTCTGAAGTTTTCTATCTTTTAGGTTTAGGGCCTATTTCTGAATTCAGATCCTTCGTATTCTTCTATCCCTAATTTACACTTTCCTTTTTCCCTTCTTCACAAAAGTGACAAGTTTATTTTTAAAGCAATATAGAAAAAACTAATTTTATTATGTCCTGAATATGACAAAAAAGACTTTGGAAAACAGCCCTCGACAAATTCTTTTGCCATGTTTGCTGCCCTAATACTTAGTATTATTTCAGCCTCCTAAACATAGATTAATGAATAAGCTAATAAAACTGTGCTTTATCATCATGTGTATTAAAGCAACACCACTTGGATAATGGTTCTGCAGTGTTTGTTCTTTTTTCCTATGAGTCTTAGCTTCCAAAACATGGGGAAAGCTCTGGTCTGGGGTTCATAACACCACAGTTGAAGATGTAAGTATTCTATTCCTGAACAGGACTGCTGTTCTATGTTTCTGTTCTTTTAGTCACTAAAAAAAGGTAGAGAAGAATAGGTATGTGACTAGTACTAACTAGTACTATGTCTACCACAGATACTCTTTCCTTCCTCCCTGACTGCCACAGGAGAAAAGCAGTATATCTTATATAGAATAGGTCAGGTTCTGTGAATAGGATCTCTTTTTTAAAATATATTTTTATTGATATCAGAGAGGAAGATAGAGCTAGAAACATCAATGATGAGAGAGAATCATTGATAGGCTGCCTCCTGCACATCCCACACTGAGGGTTGAGCCTGCAACCCTGGCATGTGCCCTGACTTGGAATCGAACCCTGACCTCCTGGTTCATAGGTTGATGCTCAACCACTGAGCCTCGCCGGCCGGGCAGTGAATAGGATCTTCAGTCACAGATATCTCAGGGAATTCCACGTTCAGAATCTTAAAAATACAACAGCTATTGTCTCTTTTCTTTCTTCTATGTTTTACTACATATGTAACATAACTCTCTAGTTAGAGCAAAGGTTAAAATAAAAATGAGTTAGCTAAAAGACACAGTCTGATTTACACTTTACTGTTTCAATGAATGAAAAACAGGCTTCCATGACATACTTCCTTAAATGTTGACCAGAGGCAGAATATAGGAGGGACAGGAAGGTGAGGGGTAGGTGCAATTGTGCCACAGAAATGCTGTGTGGGAAAGTGTCTGTGCTCAGAGGCCCAAAAAGGACACGAGAAATGGGCACAAGGCACGACATGGGCTCGGCAGGGCTTCCTGTGTTCAATGACTGGAGGCAGGAGGAACAGGAATTCGGAATCTGAATGGAATACAGGAACACTAACAGGGCACTTTTTTATGGGTTGGCTAGAAGAGGAATTTCTGGGTGTTTGGGGGTGGGGTGGGTGTGAAAGCAGTTGCTCCTCAGTCAGAAGGCCACTTCCCTAGATTCTGCTGCTACTTAGCTTTTGTTTCTACCCTTGAACCTGGTTTTCTGTGAAATAGAAAGCATCTGACCATCCTGGCTACTGCTAACAGAGTTATAATTTTTGGACTAATTGCCTAGAATGAATGTTCCGAGAAGGGTCAATATGAGGGTTAAAACCCAGTGAACTTGATATAAAATGAAAGGAAGTGGGGGTGTTAAAACTAGAGAAGACCAAAGAAAGACCCTAAATTATGCACCACTGATCCAGAGGAAAAGTTATCTGTTGACAAAAGTTACAGAAAGAATTGCTGGTTATTAGAGCTGCCTACCAAGAAAATATGCCCCCTGTTAAGTAGTGAGTTCCCCATCACTGACAGTGTTCAGTGGGAGGTGGGCATGTACAGTAGGAGACTCCCACATCAGCTGCGAGAGCAGGATGAATGGTGTTTTTTTAAAAAATATATATATATTTTATTGATTTTATAGAGAAGAAGCGAGAGGGATAGGGAATTAGAAACATCGAAGAGAGAAACATCGATCAGCTGCCTCCTGCATGCCCCCTACTGGGGATGTGCCCGCAACCAAAGTACATGCCCTTGACCGGAATCGAACCTGGGACCCTTCAGTCCGCAGGCCGGCTCTCTATCCACTGAGCCAAACGGTTAGCAGAGTGAATGGTTTTTTAAGGCCTACTTGGAGTAAGCAATGGCTAATTAACCTACTATAAAGTATGAGTGGTCTTCCTTCTCTTCTCAGGGATAGTCATGAACCCCAGTGATTAACACCAGTGATGGAAACAATGGAGATGACTGGGTTATCCTCCTAAATGTCTCCTCCCAAACTGGCCGGGAAGGTGAGAGCCTCCTGCCAGGTTTCTATCCTACAACTGTCCTCTCCCTGCTCCCCTCCACCCTCAAGGCAAAGAGCTCTTTCTCCTTGAAAGCCACAGAAAAATGAACTCTTTGGACGATGATCCACCCTATCCTTTTCTTAGCAAAATGGATTTGCATTACCCCATGCATTGGGCTGAGCTGTGAAGCTTGATGGTGCAGCACCAATGATCAGAACCGGGCCCACACTCCTCAAATGTGGTTATTCCCATAGGTGGGTGCCCAGCACTGAGCAGACGGTGTACGAATAAACACACATCGACAGCATCGATTTTACTTTAAGATCTGGGGGAACAAACATGCTTAGTATCTGTTTGTGTTGTCTTGTACAATAAAGTCAAACAATACAGAGGAGAATGCAAAAGTCACGTGCATTTTCATGATTAAATACAAGATTTTAAAGAAAGTGCTTGCTTCCATTGGGGGTATTTATGCCTACAATTACAAATCCTGAAGGAACGCATTCTTCCCCACAGTAGGACACTTTAATGAGCAAATATTACTCCCTGATCTTTAGACAGCAATTCTTGCCTCCTCTCTTTGGTTTTCCTAGATGGAAGTCCAGAGATAAGTCCAGGAAGAAGGATGTTGGTCCCTGGAGATAAACTGTGCTCAAAATCAGCTATAAAATGATTTTGGATTTGGTCTCTAGGTCATAACCTTCCCCTCTTCATGCAACCCCCCAAATTCTTCAAGCTTCTCATATAGATCTTTAAATGCATGAATTTTCCAATTCTCCCCTGAAAGCATTACAAAACTGTATATAAACACAGAGGTGCACAAAGCTGCTTTAGAAATCCTTATACTAAAAGCAGGAGAGTAGCTATGAAAACCTCCTATCCCTACAGACACATGTAACCATGATCTGGGAACAGGGCAGGCTACCAGGGCAAGCCTTGGTTGGGGATGGGTGAGACAGGCAGCTTTCCGTGTGTATAACTTGAGAATGTGAAAAAGCACCCTTCTCTATTATTCAGTTATGGCAGCTGAAGTTTCAGGCACTGGTCCAAGCATTTCCATGCGCTGTCGCATAAAGCAAGGCATCACTGTCCCCAGCTTACATGTGGGGAAACTGATTGTCAAGGGTATGAAAGTTGCCCCAGCCAACTACCTAACTCAAAGCTGACACAACTGGGATTCAAACTCAAGTCTGACTCCAAAGTAATACCATTTCCCCCACCATACCATATGTCTTTTTCCACTATATTCTTCTTCCTCCTTCTAATTTGCCCCCCCCCCCACCACCACACACACTTTAAACAAATCCTTTTCTTGTTACAGTAATTACTGGATTGCTTACCATCCACGTACAGTTCAATCTGAGGCTTTCACTTCCTATTAGCAATCGTGATGCTGGGGTTAGGGTGTCAAATGTGTGGCTGCTTTGTGCTCACAGAATTGTCTACTGTGCTGGGATTATTTAACTGCTATTAGGGCATAATCGATGCTTGAGCTGTCTGTGGGAGGGTCTGACACAAAAGCACCCTGTATCAGTCAACCCAATCTAAGCTCTAGTATTTAGAGCTCTCCTTCCTTAACAGGTGCATGTCTCTGTTCACAGCTGGAACTCTGCTTATTTGTGTGCAGCAGGGCAAGGTTAACAGCCACAAAAGATGTAGCCTAATCTTCCCTGCAGTAGTACCCGACACCCTCCCTATCAATCTGTCCCGGGTAAAATAAAATGGAAAACAAATGATCCAGATTGATTTTTTAAAATATATTTTTATTGATTTCAGAGAGGAAGAGAAAGGAAGGGGGGGAGAGCGAGAGAGAGAGAGAGAGAGAGAAACATCAATGATGAAAGTGGATCATTGATTGGCTGCCTCCTACACACACCCCACTGGGGATCGAGCCGGCAACCCAGGCATGTGCCCTTGACTAGAATCGAACCCGGGACCCTTCAGTCCGAAGGCTGATGCTCTATCCACTGAACCAAACCATTTAGGGCCAAATTGATTTTTATTGCCAACATCTCTGGATATAGGCATAAGGCTTATTCTAAGAAGTACTGTATCACCACAAATACCTTTTTCAAATTACTGATTTTCTCCTCTCTTTTCTCTGAATCTATCAATTTCTAAAATCAACTGTCCATTTTTCTCTTTCACTCCACACTAATAGCTTCACTCTACATCTAACCTCTTTTCACGAAACATCGTTGTGATCTGGCCAGTGTTTTCTCTGATGACTAGGTTATTCACTCCACGCCCCTCATAACTCTGTTTATAATTGCATAGCCCTATCAGAGTCAGATTCACTACTCGATCCAGATAGGCACTCAGCCAATATATTGCCAATAACACTCACTCTTGTGCTAACTTAAAATACAAAGTGCAGCCTGCCAAGTGTCCTTATTTGGCAAGAAGGTCCCTTAGTTCCCAAGATCTTTGACCATCCATTTTTAGATCCAAATCATCATGCTTAATATTTGGTTTTCTCTCTCTCTCTCTCTCTCTCTCTCTCTCTCATTCTCTCCCTCTCTCACTCTATCCATCTCTCCTCCAATGTGCTCTTATGTGTTCCCTGAAAGGATAAGGGAAAAAGATCAACCAACTATTTGTTTTTCTGGACCCCCCCCCCCCCAAGTGTCAGATTATGGTCATTTACTCTGGAATTATTAGCACTAAAACTTTTGATTTAAACAATATCTTCCAGTAAAAAAAAAAAAAAGAAAGAAAGAAAAAGAAAAGAAAAAGAAAACACCTCCCAAAACAATTCCAAAACAAGTTATCATAGGAACTAAATTGTTTAAGATTAAAATAAACAGTGCACATTGCTCAAAAGACCATTTTTCTTTATCTTAATTCCCTCTTTCCAAACAAAACAAATTCATATTCATTTACAATCTCCCAAATCTCTCCCTATTGTAGTAGGAATTGAAAACAAAGGCCCTACACATGACCAAAACCATAATCAAAATGCAGCCGTCACATATTTTTTTTGAAAATCAAAACCATGAAGTTTCACTGTGGAGAGCGTCCTACTACAAAAGAAGACATTAACTGTCTTGAATCACTTTTTCTATTTTTGTCTTTAAATGTGTTGGTAAGTTTGGATCCACGGAATCCTGGCTGTTCAACTCAACTGAGCTCAGAAAAGCAAAAAGGCTTTAGGGGTAAAATAAGAATATACTTTACGGTCACCTTAGCTCCGGTATCTGCGAATTAATCCTGTAAGTTGATTTGAACACACCATTATCGCTGAGCGCGGCTTATTGTAGTGTCATCTGGAATATGCCACTAAAGTGTGTTGCTTTCATTATTAAAGAAACTAACAAAAATAGTAATTAAGTTCTCCATAAATAGTGCTTACGCAAGATCTCGAGGCGCATGAGAAACACAGGTTTCCAGCCCTCTGACAACGATCGCCCCTTTTCCTCTGGCAGCTCGGTGTCCCCTGGCCAGCTCTGTATTAAAGTTGCTCTGCAAGCCGTCAGGTCAGGGGCCAGCCCCAGCGGGCCTGGCGCTGTGCTCAGAGCCCACGAACCCGGGACGCCACCGGGTCGGCCCCGGGGGACCCTCAGCTCCCGTGGAAGGAGACGAGGGGCGCAGGCGGGTGCGGGTGGGCGCGGGCTCCCGCAGGGCAGGAAGCGGCCGCCCCGAGTGGGAGACCCCGCGCCCCGCCCGGCGGGGAAGCCCCGGTTCGCGGTCTCCCCTCGCCCGCGCAGGCTCCCGGCCCGGATTCGGGAGACTCGAGTTTCGCTTCCCGAGAGGAGAGGTGCCCGGCGCACCCCCCGCGAGGCCTGCGCTCCGCCGCCACCCGATCGGTGCGGGAGGCCACGGCCCGGGCTGCGCCCCGCTCTCCCCCGCGCCAACTTCTGCGTGGGACGCGCCCGAACTTCCCGAGCCGCTCCGACCGGGCCGCGGCCGGGGTCCGGCGCCGAGTCCACGGGAGCCGGGACGCTTGCTCCCGCGGCCGCCGCCCGGCGGGCTCCGGGTCGGGGAGAGGGGGAACCCGGGGGACCCCGCACGCCGGCCAGGCTCCCGGCTGGGCCGCGGTCCGGAGCGTCGGGACGACTCGCGAGCGCGCGGGCCTCCCTCGCGCCCTCGCCCTCCCTGGCCTCCGCCCGGTCCTTACCTGGCTCCCGGCCGGACGCGGGCAGCAGCCGGGGCGCCGGGGCCCCGCGAGCCGAGGGCAG